AGATACCAATATTTATTAATGGCCTGTCGCACCTGTTTATTTTTAGCAGAAAAATTACATATGAATGGGATGTCTTTATTTTTATTCTCCTTACTTTTCGTTTTGTACTTTAATAGTCCCTTTCTCTCCATCTTTTTTACTTCATCCAGATTAAAGTCTAGATCCCTTTCTTTATAACCTTTTTCCATAAATTGATTTTTAATCACTACAGTTTGTGTATCGAAATCCTTGTCTTGTGTGCAATTTCTTCGTAATCTCATGAATTGACTTTTAGGGGCATTTTTCAGCCATGGATTGTAGTGGCAACTTTTAAGATCTATGTATCCATTACAGTCTACTTCTTTAAAATAATTTTTAGTTTGAATGTCCCCATCCTCCACAAAGATGGCGAGGTCTAAAAAATTAATTTCCTGTTTACTTGAGGTAGAGGTGAGAATGATTCCCCAATCATTGGGGAAATTATATATTATTTACAGGTTATTGTAAAGGCATATTATTGAGTACATTTGCCATTTATTCAAGTATTTCAGGTATTATAAAGCTCCACTTATATTTTTTGTCTTGAACTATGGGAGGATTATAGCCTAGTACTAGCAAATGCTTGGCTGGTTCTGACTTTTAAAATTATACGAAAGCATTGTTCCTAATTATTTGAGACTAACAGCAACTACTTTCTTGTTCATCGTGAGGTTTTATTTAAACCCTCACTGTCCTCACATTAGCGTCTGCTTACATCCATCCCAGACACTATCTGAGACAGAGTCTCCGTAATATTCTGTTCACCTGATATCGACTGTACTTAGCTTTCTGACATCTGAATACAGCAGACCTTCAGATCTATTTTACCGTAATGGACACTTTAGGAGTACAGTGCGATCTCCATCTCTGATTATCAAGCCATTACCACAGCTCTTAACTGAAAAACTATGTATCACTGCTCTATATATTACAGGAGACAGTTTCTCTAATTTACTTATATTAGTTATACTCAGAGATCTACTTTGGTATTTATGGGGACATTGATTCTTATGTCCCTAGTCTAATGCCTAGCTTGCTTTACAGCTAAACTCTGCTACATCACGATATCTACCAGGCCATTAATATTACTCCCTGTGATACTATCTCTATGTATACCACTAGAGTCAGCCTATTAGAGCTTCTTTGACCTGTGATATATAGTCTCCGAACTCTTAGTATTCATTGGTATATTTTCAGCTAGTTGGACTGGTTTACACTTATCTTTTTGTTCACCTTTGGTACATGAGCACACACTTTTGTAATATTGTTTCTTAATATTATTAAAATTGAAATGGAAAAATCAATCAAGGTATTGATTATTTCTTTGTGTATCTGCCCCTGGCCAAATCAATGAAACAATGCGTGCATGCTCCCTGAAGTAATTCACACCAGACACAGGTTCTAGGTTGTTGAATAACTTGAGGAAAGTTTATTCAGAGGGGACGGCAGGTCCCTTTTAAAGCAAAGTTACATCATAAGCATTGTCAGAGAAAACATGGAATAATACATCAATTATTGGTTAGGTGTTAAGTGGTCATTCTAATGCTCTGCCTACTGGGGGTGATGTCACCAGGGCCATGAGGGTCTCCCACGGTTTCCCAGCGCCATCTTGCTGCACGAGGTAGTTAGTCGGTGTTAAAGGGAGGGGGGGAGGAGAGGAGGGGTTAGAAGCTTCTAGCAGCCATCTTGATTAAAACATGTGTGCATAGCTTATATTGTATATAGTGAAATGAGTAAATAGACATTTTCATTAACTAGGAAATATGTGCAGACCTTATTTCCACAACAAAAATATTTATTATTTTTTGCTAAATCATCTAGCTTCTAGTCGGGTTATACCTTGTGGATATCTGGCACTGACTTCTAGTATTTTATCCTATCCCAGCCGCCTTTCCTGCTACACTCTCCTTTTTTTTCAGTTTCTATTTGGGGTTAGCCCCCGTTCCTTAGTGTACCTATAACAGGCTCTACCCCAGTTCTTTTTTGTTTTCCTGAGAATGGAACTATGACACAGGAAGCATGTTAAAAAGGAGGATATATTGGTAAGATGTATACAACTTAAATAGCTCATATAATATATTGGTACATAGAACTACTAATAGTTAAATTGTGTAAATTGTGGAAATTATGAAAAATGGGGTACGGATTGAATTTCCTGAAAATGCCATCCATTTCCTGATTTGCCAGTGTGCTTTGCACCCAAAAATGTACAGGATCAGACTGATGAGTGAGTTTACCTTGTCCTGTGTTTTACAATTTTCGCTGGGCAAGTGAAGGATGGAACAATGACAGAAGAAGTATCATAAAAAAGAAAATTTCTTGGTGTGATGTAAACATGTCAAATATCTAATTTAATATATAGGTTTGCAATGTTACTAGTAATGGGAATTTATGTAACTACTGTGTAAATGGTGAAAATTATGGAAAATTGGCAACAGATTTTATTTCTGTAAATGCCATCCACTTCCAGATTTGCTCGTGTGTTTTGTATTCAATCGTTAACTTGGTTTATTGATCAGATTATTGTGTGACTTTATTTTTTACTATAATTTTAGCTGGCCAAGTGAAGAATGGAACTGCAGTATAAGAAGGAGTATAGAGGAAGAGAGTATATTGATAGGGCTTAAATAGTGAATATATATTTGAATGGAATGCTACTAATAATTAAAGTAGATATATGTTATGTGTGTGTTTTAGTGAAAATTATGAAGGTATTTGAAAATGCAATGCATTTGAAAATTTGAAAATGCTATCAGTATTAATAATTGCTATTATAGAGGAAAGAAATCATCAATTCAATTCTCGTCTTTGATAAATGAGTATGGATTATTAGATTTATGGAGGATCAATCATCCACAAGAAAAAGATTTCACTTGTTTTTCTAAAGCACATTGTACTTATTCTAGATTGGATTTATTTTTAGGTTCCCCTGAGGTCCCACATAGGGTAAAAAAGGTTTTGATTCATGAAGTAACCTGGTCAGATCACAACCCATTAATACTTGATCTTTCTATTTCACCAGATATTAAAATTAGGAATAATTGGAGACTTAATGAATCACTCCTAAGGGAGCAAGAGGATATTAATACAATAAAAGATCAAACAAACCGTTTTTTTGATGAGAATAAAAATAAAGGCACATATAAGGCGGTGTTGAGGGGACACCTTATTAAATTAGGTTCAAATAAGAAAAAACATAAAGAAGCTTCTTTAACAGAATTATATGTATCTCTTTATAAATTAACAAATTTCAATAAGAGTAATCCAAATATAGAGATAAGTGAGAAAATAGCAATAATAAAAAATAAAATTAATAAAATCCTATTTTTACAAACTTCAAAAAAGATGGAATATTTAAGAATAAAATGGTATTATAAAGGAAATAGAGCAAACAAAATACTCACAAACAAAGTTAAAGGTGAGAAATTGAATAAATTAATAAATAAAATTATTACAGAGGAAGGGACTCAATTAACACCTGAAAATATTGGCAAAGCATTTAACTCCTTCTATCAAAAATTGTATAATTTACCCAGCTATTCTTATAATCCAGAAATATATTTTAAAAACAAAAATTTAAAAAAATTATCAGGAGAACAATTGAATTCTATTAATCAACCCTTCTCAGAAACTGAAATAATAAGTGCAATCAAGTCCTTAAAAAAAAATAAAACACCGGGGCCGGATGGTTATCCAGATATATTTTATCAGCAATTCCAGGACGTTTTAGTAATACACCTTAAAGATCTCTTTAATAATATAGTTAGAGAAAAAGATATACCTAATGAACTATTATACGCCAACATAATTCCCATTCAAAAGCCAGATAAACCTAAGGAATCTGTAGCGAATTATCGTCCTATATCTCTATTAAATTCTGATATAAAAATTTATGCAAGTATCTTGGCGAATAGATTACAAGGAGTCCTCCCGTCTATTATTCATGGGGATCAGGTTGGTTTTTTGAAGGACAGACAATCTAATAATAGTATAAGAACAATGATTGATATTTTGGACTACGCTCATGAATCGGGTACTCCATTGCTGGCCCTGTCATTGGATGCCGAAAAGGCCTTTGACAGGGTCGGATGGGACTTCCTCAGGGAGGCCTTGAAGGCTTTTGGCTTTGAAGGCTGGATTCTGAGTGCAATTATGGCCTTATATAGCTCCCCAAAGGCTAGAACAATTGGGAGGGGGATAATCTCTGAGTGGTTTAATATAAGGAATGGGACAAGACAGGGGTGTCCCCTGTCCCCATTGCTATACCTACTATACATAGAACCCCTGATCTGCGACATTAGAAATAATGACAAAATTATAGGAATTAAAATAGGCCAAGAGGAATATAAAACGCTACTTTATGCTGACGATGTTTTAATCACTATAACAGACCCTATAGCATCAATAGATGAACTGATAAGGCTGATTCATGAATTTGGCCAGTATTCTAATTTCAAGCTAAATGTAGATAAGACAAGTATTCTCGCAAAAAATATAAAAAAGGAAGATAAATTATATATTAAAGGGAAATATACTTTTGAATGGGTAAAAACATTTTTTTGTTTATTTGGGTATAAGGATTTCTAGTAACCCTGCTAAGATTCTAGAATATAATGTTATGCCTTTAATGATGCAAATTAATAAACAATTGAAAGATATGAGAACAGCAGAGATATCATGGACAGGTAGAATCAATGTTATAAAGGCCTATTTGATCCCTAAATGGAGCTATATATTCCGTATGATACCAATGAAAATGCCTAAACCATGGCTCCTGATGATCCAATCAGCATTAGATAAATATATATGGATGGGGAAAAAACCTAGGGTTAGTAAAAAAATCTTGAACCTAAAACCTAAACTAGGAGGGATGGGAGTTCCCAATATTATAGATATTTATGAATCTTGCTCATTGGCACATATTATTTCATCTATGAAAGAGAGCTCTAGGGGAGAATCATGGGCAAATATTGAAGCTAAAAGAGCAGAAATTCCAGATTTAATGGCTTTATTTTGGAATATACACAAAGGGGAGAGAGATGATATGGGCCTAATTCTAGATAACTTATTGGCTCAATGGAGAATCTGGAAAAAAAGACTCAAAATTACAGATAAAATTATTATTGACCTACCTATGCAGGTTTTGTCCATTAATATTAAGGATCCTAATCTTGAGCCATGGTTAAATAAAGGCATTAATAGAATAAATCAGTTATTTCAACAACAACAGATTAGACCTTTTGAAGAGATTAAACAGGCCTTTTCTCTTTCCTATAGAGAAAGTTTTACGTACTTAAGGATAAAATACTTCTTAATGAGACATAGAATAGTGGAGATCTCTGAGGAATTACAGATGTTTATAAATTTATTAAATATCACACATAATAAAAATTTAGTCTCTAAATGCTCCAATATCTGTAGTAAGTATAAGCCACTCCCGGAATTTCCAGCTAAAAAAGCTTGGGAAAAAGATATACAAATTAGCATTATGAGAAGTGAATGGCTTGAGGCTAATAATGCAGTAATGAAAGCTTCACATTGCTTAAATCTATCGGAAAGTCACTATAAGGTTATCAATAGATGGCATTATGTACCAGCTAAATTAGCAAAAATATATCCAGGTAATCAATATCATTGCTGGCGTTGTGCTTCCCTTATAGCAGACTACGTGCATATATGGTGGTCATGTCCGATTATAGTTCAATTATGGCAAAAGGTAGCGAAATTCTGTAGGGAAGAAATAGAAGTGGATCTTGATTTTACTTGTAGTTCTATGATATTACATATGGGATGGCCCACAATTCCGAAGGATAAAAAAGAAATAATTATCCACATTCTTGTAGAAACTAAAGCTACTCTCGCAAGATTTTGGAAAATCTCAGATTCCCCGTCATGGGAGATGATAAAACATCAGGTCTTGAATAATTGTAAAATGGAAATAGGGATATTGAGACAAAATAATTATTACAATCCACGAATTGAACAATGGCAGAAATGGATTGTGAAATTAGGAAGAAGTAATGTGACTTAATATATACTAAGGTTTTTATGTCTTGGAATTGTAGATAGGGTAGTGGTTCCTGTGCATAAATTTCTAAATTAGCCATGGGTTTACGGAGCCTGATTGGTAGAAAAAAATATTTGTCAAAGATTATGGTTCTAGGTTCCTAGGTGCAATATGCGACTAACTCTCGGCAAAGGGCAGCTTTTTTTTTTTTTTTTGATGTTTATTGTCTAATGTCTGATTATTTATTGTTGTAACAATGTATGTGAATCCTTTTTTGTTTGTAAAAAGAGAGAAAAAAGAGAAAAGGAAATATTATAAAAGAAAAAAAGTAAGAGAATGAAAGAAAGAAAATCTTTTTCAATAAAGATTAAATATATATAAAAAAAAAAATAATTGCTATTATAATTCATCATGAATCCTGTTTTTCTGTAAACCTAAGTGTAAACATTTGGATAAAGTATTGTTATATCATTACAAATTATTAATAAACCTGTCATTTTACTAACTGGAAGTGTTGATTGTCCCCAGAAATAAAAAGAGTGGTTTATACCATTGCGTGTACTGGAGAAAAGATGAAAAATTTGGCTTTTGATTTACACTTGCAATTCATTTCTTAATTCACCAGTCTACCTTGTTATTAGGAAGTTATCAAAGCTACAGCTACAGATTAATTTGTATTTGTTTGTTAAACTTGTTTTCCAATTTGATTTCTGTAACGGGAACAGGGGTGATTGGTCCCCAGCTTGCGATTCAAAAACTCTGACATTCATTCCATCTTGTCTGCCTGTGACATCCACAGTGATTCCTCACGGTAAAGCACTCTACCCACTGGATGGGCAGGGTTTGTTCCCTGTGCTCAATCTTTCTTCCAGGCAGGTATTATCATCTCTGCCTGCTACCTTTTCATAGCAGGACATTAAGCCCCTTGCACACAAGTATACAGAATCTGTCTACAAAGTCTGTGATAATGCCTCCCAAATCAAAGACAACACAACTACTTAAGAGAAAAACATTTAATACATTTAAAATCTGTTACAGACATACCCTTCTGTGATGCAGCACAGTACCAAAACATATATCATAGGAATTCATTGTTATCAATCCCTAGCATGTTCTCTACAAGGGCAAATATCCTTTATTAGTGCAAACACACACTCATAACTAAACACACTTAAATG